CAGTGACTCTAAGGTCAGAGCGGCTTTCCTTGCATATGATCCGCTCTGATTCTATTCACAGTACCACAGATGATCCATGGAGCCCTCCGGGAATGATCCTGAGCACAGAGTTAGAAAGCCAAAAGTAAGCCTTGAGCACCCCTGAATGGGACCCCCAAAAAAAAAAAGGATGGTTATTGTAAAATAACGTGGGGACATTTTCATTGGCAGGTTTTCAAACACAGGATAATTTGGGTATATGTCATGATTATGTACATTAATGTTGGTAACAATAAGAACAATTTAAAATTAAGAAAATTGTTTTGGGGGGTTGGAGGGTGTGGGAATTTTAAAACCCCCCTTTTTATCTTTTTTTTTAAATTTTTTTTAGTGAAAAACCACGAGGTACAGTTGTAGACTTACAAATTTTTGTTCTTGGGTTTCGATTATACAGTGATCGAGTACCCATTTTCCACCACCACTGATCCCAGTATCCTTCCCACCCGCCATCCCCCCTTTCTACCCTGCCTCTGTGGAGTAATAACCTTTGTTCTCTCTCTCTCCTTTTGAGTGCTGTGGTTTGCATTGAGTGGCAATCATGTTGGGTCTATAGTCCACTTTCAGCATGCATCTCCCATCTTCGGAGAATCCTCCCAACACCTTTATTTGGTGCTCCCTTCTCTATCTGAGCTGCCTTTTCCCCTAGCATGTACAGCTGGCCTCCAAGCCATGGAGTGAACCTCCTGGTACCTATCTCAGCTAGTCTTGAAAACCCCCTTTTTGTTAGTTTTCTTTAAAGTAACAAATCTTTAATTGGCTTTTTGGGTGACACCCAGCAATACTCAGGCTTTTACTCTGCACTCAGAAATTACTCCTGGTAATGCACTGGGGACCGTTTAGGATGCCAGGGATCCAACCCAGATCGGCTGTGTGCAAGGCAATTATCCTACCTGCTGTACTAACAGTCTGGCCCCTGTACTCACCAACTCTTCACCCCAATCTTTACAAATGCTCACTTAACACATACTGTACTTGTGTGAGAAAACAGGTACCACATACTCAGAATAGAATTCCTTGTCTGCATTTCAAATGTTCTCTAATTTCTTGTTTATTCTGTAAATGACACCACTGTAGTGTTGGTGAGGCTAAGTGTGGGGGTGATCAAGATGTAGCTGAATGATAAAGTGCAGGTGATCCTCTGCACCACTGTGCGGATGTAGGCAGTCGGTGTGACCCCCATCCGCTCTGAAAATGCCTTTGCACCCTGCTTGCTCAGTCTCTCCTGTCCCTTCCCTCTGTGTTTCCACAGCCACCAAGCCTCATTTAGACCCTTCCTGACTCCTTTATTTTCTCAGAACTGTCCATAGGTTTTCCTAAGATACAGGCCACACTCCCCTTCCAAAGGTTTTGAAGGGTTTTACCAATAGCTTTTTTTTTTAATTATCTGCCTCCATCTTTATCATGCACATTCAGGTCCCACTGATATCCCAGCAGACCTTACTCCCCAAAATTGTAATTTTCTTTTCTTCTGTTTTTCTCCACCTGGCAGTGCTCAAGACTGTTTCTGACTTGGTATTCTGGGTCATCCCCAAGGGTGCAAGGGGGCCATGTGTTGCCAGTTTTCTTGCATGCAAAGCCTGCACTCCAGCCACTTCAATTATTTTTATCTAATGGCAGATTCACATTTTACTTGCATTTGTTTTAGCCTCCAGAAAAAAGGTGTACTAAAACTTTACTTGTTTTCTCAGGGCATATTTATATCTGAAAAAAAGTGAGATGTTTTAAAAAGTTAAGTGGGGCTAGAGCAATAGCACAGCGGGTAGGGTGTTTGCCTTGCATGCGGCCGACCTGGGTTTGATTCCCAGCATCCCATATGATCCATCCCATATGATCCCCCGAGCACCACCAGGAGTAACCCCAGTGCATCGCCGAGTGTGACCCAAAAAGGGGGGAAAAAAAGTAAGTTACTGTCATTACTTTGGGGGATAAAAACTAAAGTTACAGCTTTATCAGAAATGACGTATATATTGTTTTGTCACTTTGGCCAGTCCGGCCCAAGGCAGACATTTCCATCAAGTATTTTTTTTTATCCCCTAATTGAACCTAAACAACTTAAAAGTCTTGAGGCAGCCACACTCAAACCTCTAGGATTTGGGTTAAAGTTTTTAAAACATCTGGACTAGGAAAAGAATGGTCAAACTGATTCCTAGTTCATGGCCAGATAAAAAACAAAACTTAGGCCATGGTATGGAGAATAGTTGAAGAAACTGGATTGTTACAATAGTGCTTTTCAGCCTTTTTACAATTGTGATGGACACTGTTCTATAGATTGGCAAGTTGAAAATCACTGTGTTTGAATATGGGGGAAATTATACCTGAATAATCTATACCGAAAGAAACTTTGATGAGCTGTTAGCAGTGTGGTTTCATCTCTGGGAGTGCTTCTGGGATAATCATACAAACTCTTTGACCCTTAGGTGTTTTGGTTGATATAAACTTGTATTGCTATGTTCAGATTTGAGACCTGAACTGGAGAGAACTCAATAGGCCTGGCATACATGCTTTGTATGCAGAAGTTCTGGGTTTGAGCCATCGCACTCCATGGTCCCCCAGGCACCACCAGGAGCAAGCTCCGAGCACTAAGTCCTTCTGTAGCACCTGAACACTGTCAACTAGGGCCCAAGAATGAAACTGAACAACAAACCAAAAATCTGAGTTCTTTTGTAAGGTGCTATATTTCTAAATATAGACTAAAGGCCACATATTTAGTCAAATTATGCATTTGATTTAAGGAAAATAGAAATAAGTTGAAAATATTAATTAACATACAGGTAAATGATGACCCCTGATGGAGAAGGACAAATACCAGATGTTCTCATTCATCTATGGAATGAGTCAGAATAAGAGACTAGACAGTATTGAACAATGATAGACCCTTGGTGTTGGAATACAGAACCAAATACCAGTGTGGGTGTGGTAGAGAGAGGAGAGCAGAGGAAGTAGTGGAGGGTCAGGGACACTTTGGTAGTGGTGTGGGGCATGGTAACTTTGTATGTCAGTACCATAAACTTCAGCATCATTGTAACATCCTAACATAAGAATTAAGAAAGAAAACTACCAATATCTTTTACCTACTTAGATGTTTTAATTCTCAAAATGCTGTCAAACAAAAAAGAATGCCATGTATCAGAAACTACACGTTAACGTAAATTCACATGAATGAGCAAACTGAAATTGAATTTATTTTCATATTTTCCTTTGGGTTTTTTTTATTCTTACCATTTATATTGAGGTACCTTAGTTTACAATACAGTTGTACTTTTTTCCTTTTTCTTTTCTGTTGGGGAGGGGATCGCATACTGAGATGACTTTCTCCTTCAGGGGACAATATGAGATGCTGGGAATCCAGCCTGGCTTGGCCTATGTGTAAGGCAAGTGCCCTACCCACAGTACTATCTCTCTGGCCCCTGACCCCTGATTATACTTTTCATGTATACATTATTCCAACACTACATTCATTATTATAGTTCCCACTTCCTTTACCAATATTCCAAGGGCCCTTCCAGCCAAACCCTCTCCTAGGTAAGTTCAGTTCTGTAGACACAATATTCAGTGCTGATGCCTTTGGCCATTTGTTGTTCTTTATTATATTTGTATGCCACATATGTGGAATTGTGTGTGAGGAAGGGGGGGAGAGAGAGAGAGAGAGAGAGAGAGAAAGTGGTGACAGCTGCATAGAGCTGAACATTTGAAATTCCCCAAAGTTATAACTCAGTGCTAGGTTGATAAAGATTATTCTTCAAAATAATTATTTTTTTACACATACACAAAAATTTTAAAAATAGTTTTAATAATTATGTGCTAATACATTTTTTAATTTTGCATGAAATAGATAAATCCAACAAATACACAATTTAATAAGAGGAGAATTTAAAAATTCATTAAGGAAACTTTGAATTGTCTTAAAAACAAAATTGTGTTTTATTCTAATAAGAGAATATTGGTTTTATAAGAAAAATGTAACTAAAACTTAAATAATATCTGTTTAGATATTAAAAAATTACTAGAAGGAACATTCAATATAAATGTAACATTATCGGAAAAGTATAATCCATAGCAAGCTAAGAATGAACAGACCTTTATTAATGAATTCCCTGAGCTTCTGTCTGTCCATGAAGCTTTATGTTCAAAGCTGAATGATAATGTACAGGATAAAGTATTTGTGAATTGTTCATTTCGTTTAATATTTTTACTATATCCCACCCATCTCTTCTGGCTCATACAGGTTTACTGTGAATTTTATGGGCTTTTTCTTGTACGTAAGTTCCTTTTTTAGTCTTGCTGCTTTCAATATTTCTATCCGAAATTTTTCTATAGAGGTCTATTTTCTTCTGGACCCTTTGGCACTCTTGGGTCTGGGTCCCTGCACTCCTCAAATGTGGTTAATTCTCATCGATGATATCTTTAGTGTTTCTTCATCCAGTTTGCCTTCCTGTTCTTAAGGGACTTTAGTGATTCTTAAATTGTTCCTTGTAACTCATCCTATAGTTAGTTCTCTGATGTGCTTGTTTCTTTTCAAACTTTCCCCCCATCCTCTGTTGCTTTTAAGAGTTTTTGCATCTCATCTTGGAGCTTACCCATCTTTTTCTCAGCTGCTATTATTCTGCTGATTAAATAAAATCTTTGTTGTGTTTTTTTTATATCACTTACCATACTTTTCATTTCTGTCACTTCTGATTCAGATCAGTTTACTCATTTCTGTTCTCATATTTTCTTGTGTTTTGCTACTACCTGTGCCAGCATTTCTTTGAGCTTGTTAAACGTCCTCAGCATGTGTCACTAAAGTTACTCTCTTGAGTGGTTACGGAGTTTGTGCTCCTATTGTGCTGCGAATGATCGTTGTTTGGCTAAGAGAACTTTTACCCTTCCCTGTCTCTAAAATTTCTTTTTAGATTTTAAGGAGACTACAGAAGTCAGTGGGTCTGACTATAATTGATATGTGAAATTTTTCTCTCTATTAGCACCATCTAGACACCATGGCAACTTCATCTGAAGAAGTTTTGCTGATTGTAAAGAAAGTGCGGCAAAAGAAGCAGGATGGAGCACTATACCTCATGGCAGAAAGAATTGCTTGGGCACCTGAAGGGAAGGATAGATTTACAATCAGCCATATGTATGCAGATATCAAATGTAAGTCAGCCATACTGAAGTCTGTTGTGGTTCTCATTATCAACCTAGTGTTGATGATTACAGAATATTATCACTGAGTTAAAAAAAATTACATAGCTTCCATTTACATTAGCTATTTGAACAGAGCTAAACAAGCTCTCACAAATACATTTTTTGGAGCATGGCTTTCACAGATACTTCGAGTTGCATAATATTTTACTGATTGATTATGCAGTCATTTAGCTAGTCCTTTCTTGAAGTCTGTTTCCAGAATTCTTTATTCCAACCAATGCTCTAGTCTAGATCTCTACGGTAATAACTTTGTGAGGTTTTATATATGGGTCATGCATCTAAAATGTTATTTGATGATGCTACATTATGATTCAGTAAAATTGTATCATTTAAGCAGCTTGTTTAATCTTTGGTAATGTGGCCATCTTTATTGAGAATATCACTATCACTGTCATTCCATTGTTCATTGATTTACTCACACAGGAGCCAGTAACGTCTCCATTCGTGCCAGCCCTGAGATTTCAGCAGCCTCTCCTTACTCATCTTTCCCAAAGTATTGGAGGCTCTTTCAGGGCCAGGGGAATAAGACCCATTATTGTTACTGTCTTTGGCATATCGAATATGCCACAGCTAGCTTGCCAGGCTCTGCCATGAGGGTGGGACACCCAGTAGCTTGCTGGGCTCTCTGAGAGGCGGCATATGTATATATTGAGAATCTACTCTAATGAATAAAAATGGTAAAAATATAAGAGCATGCTATTTTTATGTTCTCAGGCCAGGAGATAGCAAAAAGGCCTGGATCTCATGTGCACGGTCCATAATTTGATCCCCAGTACCACTTGGCTCAGTACTACAAGTGTGGGTCTCTTGGTCCCTGTGTTCCCATAGGACCTGGGTGGCTCTAATTTGCCAGGCCCAAGCAAAAGCACAGCTAAGCAGCTGGACTTGACTCCTAAGTTCTCAGCACTACTGGGGAGCACCCCCGCCTCAAAAAAAAAAGTATATTCTTGTACTTTTTTCTATTTTAGAGCATAAAGACTAAAATCATGGCCTCTTTCTAAATTTATGTGGTTACCTTTGAATTTATTACCCATAGTGTATCATACTTTGTGGCTCAGTAGTAATTACCTTTAAAACCAGTATATAAATCCTGCAGTTTAAAACTTTTACTCTGATAGGGATTTCTACATTTGACATAACAACAAAAAAGGTCTTAAGAGTCAAGGAGATAATCCTGTAACAGTGTGGTGTTTTCACTGTGACTGTTAATAAAGATTAATTTGTTTTCCTAGACTTTTCTTCTAGAGCCTAGATAGACATATCAAAGATAACTCAAAGTTTACAATTGCTCAGTTTACATGTTTTTTGTATTTAAACAACTACCCTAAAGACTTACTCTACTGTGCAACTGAAAATGGTCAACATCTTTATCTTTCTCCACTGAGATCACTTAAAATTCTTAATTTTAATTTTTAAATGGAATATTGTTAGAAATTATCATAATTTTTAAGAATTTCCTCAGCTTTTTCTTTCTTGAGCTCACCTCATAGTATCTCCTTTTAAAACTTGATTTCTGTGGTGAAAATGCTGCTTCAGATAATGGTGTTCCAAACTAGCATTACAGTAGACTGCCTGTATGTATTAACATTTATCTTAATAAACATAGTGCAGCTAAACAAACTTGCACTATGCGTTTGTGAGACTCACACTGATTACACTAGTAGATATTGTAAAGAATATGCCTGTCTCCTTTGTTCTCAACAGTTCTTACTATTGATGAGGAAAGTGAGTCCCCCAAATTTTAGGTTGACTATTTGAAAGAGTGTCTTTCCTTAAAGAAGCTGCCAAAAACTTTCAATAAGAAATTGCTGAAATGAAAATCGGCAGTTTAATTATCTCGTTAAATCAAATCTTTGGAAATAGCCTCTCGGAGGAGTAAGACCTTAAAATAGCAACTGCATAGGGTCCAAGTAAAAGCACAAGTGGGGTGCCTGCCCTGCGTGTATCTGGCCCAGAGTTCCATCCCTGGCGCCACATTGGGTATGGCCCAAGAAGCAACCATATAAAGAGCCTAAAAGAGAGTAGTAAGTTGGAAGAATGGGGTAATGGGATAGGCTGGATTGTAGTATAGGTGTTTTTTTTAATAGAAATTTATAGATTATAGTATACATTTTTTCATAGTATAAATTTTTTTTAAACAACATAGTGTTTCATTCAACTTATTGATCTGAAATAGAGAAAGTTCGTGCTTATTTAAAAGGGCTAGTGATTGGTTTGTGCAGAACAGTGTTTCATACAACCTGAAATCACTCAGGTATGAACCAAATACCCTCCGTCTCTCTCTCTTAAAAAGAAGACAAAACACTACTATTGCAATGAAGCCCACTCTTCAGAATATAAGTTCTAGATCAATGTATGTTAGTATATTTTCTCTAAATGAGTTTATATAGAATTATCTCACACAGATCAAAGCTTTGGTTTTTTTGTTTTGTTTTGGGATTTGATTTGTTTTGTTTTTGGCTTTTCAGTCACACCCAGCGATGCTCAAGGCTTACTCCTGGCAGTGCTCAGGGAATCATGTGGTTGCCAGGGATCAAACCTGGGTTGGCTGCATGTAAAGCAAGTGTCCTACCTGCTGCACTATCGCTGCAGCCCCGCTTTATTTCTGTATGCATTTATTCCTTAGAAACTAAAAGTCATTTCTGTGTTATATTCAGACTTCACTATACTCATCAAACATTTTCAGCAAGAACAACATATAGGTGATAATGTTTGTATTCTGCTCTGCCATCTAAGAAAGCCCATGGGATCATGTCCTGCTTTTAATTTAATTTAAGCCAAATTTGATTATTTGGTTTAAAATGGTTATACCAGAGCTCTCAAATGTCAAGTTACAGATTTTCTATTTTAATTGGTAGGTAAGCTAAGAACATGTTTGGCAGTTTTTTTTACAAAGTGATTTTATACATCAAATTATGATTAATTAAAATGGTAATTTGAGACACTTGTTCAGGGCAGATTCAGTATTCCTAATTGCGTCTTCAGAAAGTTTTAAAGCAATTTCCTCAGTTGAATGGAAATAGAAACTGTTTAGTCAATCTGGACATGTATAAGGTGAATGGAAGTGCCACACAAAAGGGATACTAAAGAGGGAAGCAGGGAGTAGTGAGCAGTGATTTTTGTTGAATGTTCTCTGGTTAAATGGAATTACTTGGAAAGAGGGCATTTCTGCAAAAGCACCAAGATTGGAATAAGGCAACTAAAGCCGAAAGGAATTCTGAATCTTCCTGTAGGAGAAGTAACCTATATTATATGGCAATGTCTGTGTTGTAAGTTCCTCACTTAGTTAGCCTTGTGCTTCATTTTAGGTCAGAAAATTAGTCCAGAAGGAAAAGCTAAAATTCAACTTCAACTGGTCCTGCATGCAGGGGATACAACTAACTTTCATTTTTCCAATGAAAGCACGGCAGTGAAAGAAAGAGATGCCGTGAAAGACCTTCTTCAGCAGTTGCTGCCTAAATTCAAGAGGAAAGCAAATAAAGAACTGGAAGAGAAAAACAGGTGAAAGACAGGAGAATTGCTTTCTGATTAGATACTAGGTCTCTTTGTAAAGTAATAGTTTTGGTATTTCTCACCCCTCGTGCTTCAGCTGTAAAAATACAGGAAAATAAGGGCTTTGATAGTTTTACCTCTGAGCTTGGTTCCCAACTTTATATCTACTGTTTGACTTTGAGCAAATTAGTATATAAACTCAGAAGTCAAGTTTGCTCCTTCAGTCTGATATCTGACTGAATAAACTGAGATTCATTGGTACAAAAGTCTTTCTAGTCCAGTATTCTATCACAGAGAAGATACTAAATCGTTGTGTGTTGGTGAGTAAGAAATAGGAAAGAAACATTATGAATGTGTTAGAAAGGAACTAAGAATTTACCTCAGTTGTAGAGTACTTGCCTTACATGTGTGAAGCCCTGGGTTTCATTACTAGCACTGCCCAAAAAAAAAAAAAAAAAAAAGCTAAAGCATGTAAAAAAAGAATTTTTTTAATGAGATAAATTATTCTATCATCACCAGCATATTTCTCACCTCCTGTACTTAAGAACTTTTAAGTTCTTACCACCATGAAAAACTAATTGCTGAAAAATACGAAGAATACATCTCTTTCCCACTCACTTTCTTTTGTAGAACAGAGTATAGTGCATTACATACATAGTGACCTTTGCGTTATTGGTATATAGAGACAAAATATAAAGAATCAATGCTCTCCAAACTGTTTAGTGTCTTGAGAGATAGTACAGAGGTTAAGGTCCTTGCCTTACATGCAACTGATGGTTTTTGACCCCTGGTAATGTATATAACCTCCCAAGCACTGCCAGAGGTCACTTCTAAGCACCACTAGACATGCCCCCCCACACACGACTTTTTTTAATAAAAAATTAATCTTTGATTCCTAAGTTTAATAAGTTCCATTCATTCATTTCTCAAAACAGTACCTTTTTTTTTTTCCAGAACTAAATGGTTTCTGCTGCTCAGTTACCACAAAGTAAATAATGGGATGGGGGTTGGATATTTTTTAGGGGGTTGGGTCACACCCAGCTGTGCTTGAGACTTACTCCTGGTTTTGTGCTCAAGGATCACTCTTGGAAGGCTCTAGGGACCATCAGGGGTTCTGGGGATCAAACTGGTCAGCTGCATGCAAGGCAAGTGCCTCGTCCACTACTGTTTTTCCAGCCCCCGTGAAATGAATGTTGTGTGTTGTGGTGTTTCATATAAAGACTTCAAAAATTGTTACCTCGGTGGTATTTTATTCTGGAAGTTGAATATGTTCAATGTATTCTTTCACCCAGGATGCTGCAAGAAGATCCAGTTTTGTTCCAGCTTTATAAAGACCTCGTTGTGAGTCAAGTGATCAGTGCTGAGGAATTCTGGGCCAACCGTTTAAATGTGAATGCAACAGAAAGTTCCTCCACAGCCAATCATAAGCAGGATGTTGGCATTTCTGCGGCATTTTTGGTATGTGGCTTGTCTGCATTTTTGAAGGGAGAAAAATCTTAAGCCCTGATTGGTCTATTACTGCTCCTTTTGTAAAATATGAGCATCCTTTCAAATTAATAGAAAATTTGTTATCCAGGCTGTGGTACATGTACACAATGAAATACTGTTGAGATGTAAGAAACAGTCATGCCGTTTGCTGCTATGTGGATGAATCTGGAGAGTATCATGTTAAGTGAAATTAGTGAATTGAGTCAGAGGGAGAAGGACAGACAGAACAAAGTTGTTCTTATGGGAGATATAAAGAAACTTAGTAGAAGAATGACAAATGCCCAAAAGCACTAGAAAGGAAGGTTAGGAGGACTGCTCCTAAGTAGGAAGCTTGCCTCTGGGGAAATGGGTGAGGAGCTAGGTTAGGGGAGGGACCACTAGGACAATGATGGGAGAAGTGGTCACTGTTTGAGGGCTGGAGGCTACAGAAGATAAATAAGAGATGTGCATGATACCCTATCAGTAACTACTGTAAACCACAGTGCCTAAAAGGAAAAAAGAAAAATGTGCCCACCATAGAGGCAAACTACTGAGTGAAAGGGAAACAGGTGTTGTTGGAATAAAGGGGACACTGGTGAGGTTAGTGTTGAAACATTGCATGACTGAAAATCTTAAATAATTGTAGCTTTGTAATTCATGGCGAATCAATTAAAATCGGATCCCCCAATTTAACACTTATGTTTTTCTTAGTTTTTGTGCTAGAAATCATAACAAAACTTTGAAATTAGACCAATACAGTTATCTTTAATAATTTCAAAGTTGTAGGTCTCTGGCACCTACTTTTATGGTTGCTGTATTTTGTATATATTTTAGAGAAAAATTCTAATATATTGCATGTAAAAATGGAAGGAGGGATTTAGGGGCCTGGAGAAATAGTATAGTACATAGGGCGCTTGCCTTGCATAGGGCCAACCCAGGTTTGAGTCCCAGCTCCTCGAATGATCCCCCAGCCTCACCAGGAGAAATTTCTTGAGCACAGAGCTAGGGGTAAGGCCAGAGCAGTGCTGAATATGGCCCAAAGCCTTAAAAAAAAATTTTTTTTTAGTCTGGGGAACTAAATGTTATTTCTGTATTTAAATTTCAATGTCAGGCATTTTTGGCATCTTGCTTGGTGCTTTGTAGTAAATTAATTATGGCCATTCCTTAAGAAACTAGTCCAAGTTTGAATTAGTTTTACAAAGCTTGTTGGTTTTGATTTTCAGGCTACAGCCTGCAGTTCTCAGGGGTAGACTCAGCTGTGTGTGCTCAGGGATCACTCCTGGTGGGGCTCAGGAACATACAGGTGCTAAGGGAAATCTGTTGTATGCAGTTAAGAGCCTTATGCACTGCACTATATCTCTGACCTCTAACTTTACAGGTTTATAAAATTTTGAATTTGTGGAGAGGGCCACATCCATCTATATTTAGCACTTGCTCTTATCTCTGTGTTCAGAAATGTGCCTTGATTGTTGACATGCAAGGCAGATGCCCTCACCTGCTCTTTCTCTCTGTCCTGTAATCAAGTTTTGAGTTCCCAAAGGCAGATTAATAATTGAACTGAAACAGGAAAGTCCACATTGGACTTTCAAGAAAACCATGTGGGGTGATGGGAATCAAACCTGAGTCGGCTACCTGCAAGGTCAGCATCCTAACCACTGTACTGTTGCTCCAGCCCCTGAAGGAAGCAGATTTTTTTTTTAGGTCACTATGCTTCCATGAAATTAGGCCATAGTTCTTTGAGCCATGCTGAAACAGAAGGTCAGAGATATCTCTAGTCATCATCTTCCAGTATTTTAATGACTATGTGTTTTATTTTAGGCTGATGTTCGACCCCAAACAGATGGATGTAACGGTCTAAAATACAATCTAACCTCTGATATCATTGAGTCTATATTTAGAACCTATCCAGCAGGTAAGAAGAATCACTTTTTGCAGTTGCTAAAAAATTTGCTCTAGTGAATTCTGTCATATATTGTTGTAAAATAAAAGGCTTTCTCTTTATTCTCTTTATTCTTGACAGCATGATAAACTATGCTAATTTAGCCAATTCCTGGTAGATATTAAGGGTTTAATAAGTAATATGCTGTCGTTTACTTATGGATATGAGAACTTTGCTTTTCTTTTATTTTTGGCCACACCCTAGGGGTTACTAGGGGTTGCCTAGGGGTTACTCCTGGCTCTACTTAGGAATCACTCTGGGTGGGGCTCTGGGGACCATATGGGATGCCTGGGATCGAACCCCAGTTAGCCACCTCAAGGCAAGCACTCTATCTGCTGTACTATTTCTTCGGTTCTGGACCTTGGTATTCTTCTCATCAGTTTCTTCAACTTAGTCTTGCATATACCTGAGCAAGGTGACCAAGTCCAGAAACATCACTGAGTTGATAGCTTTAACTCAGAACATCCTTTGTGCTGCCTTCAGAGTGAACTCTAAAGCCTTTTGATATTTTCACTCGTTTAATCAACAAAGTATACTATGTTGATTAAAGGTACTCTTACTCCCCTCATCTTAAAGATAGAGATAAAATAATTTTTATTCACACAGTATGTGATGGATATTGAATTTGACATTTTAAGCTAGGACTCCACCTCAAGAAACCAGGCTCTTGAACACTTTGTTCATAGGACTGTCAGCTTGTAGAGTGCTGAGATGTTTATTTTCCTAGCACTCATTCCTTTGGGTTGAACGTCCAGTCATCTAAACAAATAAGCAAAGTAGGTCTGCTCCTGCTCTGGACCCTGGGGAGTAGAGTAGACTAATTTTCCTATTGGAACCAGGGTCCTGGCAGTGCCTGACATTTGCACTCTTGGTCCACTGTGCACCCCATATACTCGGCCCTCGCCTATGTAAGATACTGACCAGACCCATTACCTCCTAATACTCAACACTGACCCCAGGCAGAAAAATGAGCTTTCTTACATAGCTCAATGTCTTTACCAAGAAACACTGTGTACTGCTTAAGACTGGTGAATACACCCCCTTAGCTCTCACCATCATTGTAAAAGCCATTTAGTGTTGAGGCTTATTGCACCTGCAGAATGGCACAGTATCCTCTCTAGAGCCTGAGAGCCTACCCTGGGGACCATGACTTGATGCACTGTGTGACCAAGAAGATGCTGGCTGCTTTCTCCACGTCCCTGGATGAATGTATCTGTCGGAAAGCACCTTGCTGCAGCCCAGTATGAGAACCCCAATCCATGCCTACACCTAGGAATATTCTTTTAAGGGGATTGCCACACGGTGTCTGCCTCTAACAGTCAGTGTGATGACGTTCTTTCCTAGAGACCAGAGTGAGAAAAAGGCCTCTGTCAGCCTCGGTGCTATCAGCAAGTATCCTCTGCTGAAGCCCTGGGTCTTGACCTCCTGTGGCCAAACTTTGCAGACCTCTACCCTGAAGACTTGGGATAGAAAGAATGAGCACTGAAGGCTGCCCGGGAGGTGCGCATCAAGTGAGGCCAGGGCTATAGTCAGCGAGTCCTTCATCTCTTAACTTTTTTTTTTTTCTGGAGCATCACACCCGGTGGTGCTAGGGGGCCATATGCGGTTGACAGGGATTCATTTGGAGTAGGCCACTTACAAGGAATGCCTCACCTCTGTCCTAGCTTTCTGGCCTTCTAACCATGCATATTAAGAAGTAGTCTATGGGGGGTGGGTCGTAAACTCTAAACAATAATTGTGCATCTTCTATCGAAACAATCTAGTCAAAGTAGATAGAGTATTAACTAGAACTCATCTGCCTCACAAGAATTTGGGAGGGGTGGGAGGTGGGGGTCTATTGGGGTTCGGGGTTAAAAATAAGTATTGGTAAAGGGAAATGTGTTTGATATTTACATGAATGAGACCTAAACCCGAAAGCTCTGTAACTTTTCCCACAGTGATTCAATAAATAAATAAATTATTAAAAAAAAAAAGTAGTAGTCTAAGGGCCAGAGAGGTAGGCTAGTGGGGAGGGTGTTTGCCTTGCACACAGCTGATCTGGGTTCAATCCCTGGCATCCCACAGGGTCTCCCGAGCACTGCCAGGAGGTAATTCCCTGAGTGCAGAGCGCGTAGTAGCCCCTGAGCAATGCGGGTGTCTAAGGCTACCTTCAAGACTCCAGGTGTCCCCCCCCCCCCTCACGCGCTCTTGCGTGCTTGCTCTCGCTCGCTCTCTCTCTCTCTCTCTCTCTCTCTCTCTCTCTCTCTCTATTTTCTCTCTCTCATTCTTGAAGAAGGAAACATTCCAGAGTCCAGGGTGCTTTTTCCCATCAGTGACCCTCCCTTGTGTTTTGTTATGTGGTATTGTCTGTATATATTAGTTTTTATCATTCTTTCCAGCCCACTGCCAACTACTATTTAGAGAGGAGGACAGCAGACTAAAGAAACTGGTGTTTGACTGTCTTTACTAAAACTTTGAAGCCTATTCTTTGTAAAATTAAAAAGTTTCCTTTGCAGTTAATATTTATAGAGATAGTCCCTTACCTAACTTCTCAAAATTTGTATCATTTATATTTAGATTATTCTATACCGTATATATAAAGTTCAGCTTCATAATTTGCTTAGTTTTGCTCTTAGTCAAGTTCAGCTTCCGTGAGTTTTAAGGTGGAAATTCAGTTGTAATTTTTCATAATTATTTTCTTTCTTTTTTTTTTTTACATGATCGTTTTCTACAGTGAAAATGAAATATGCAGAAAATGTTCCTCACAACATGACAGAAAAGGAATTCTGGACACGTTTTTTCCAGTCCCATTATTTTCACAGGGATCGACTGAATACAGGGTCAAAGGACCTCTTTGCAGAATGTGCCAAAATAGATGAAAAGGGTAACTTTATTCTAGATATTATACATTCCCTTTTTGGGGGTGGACGGGGGTGTCGGGAGGGGTTTGGGCCACAGCCAGCAGTGCAGAGGGCCTGGCTGCTCTATCACTCTAGGTAGTACACAAGGAACCATGTACAGTACTGGGGAGTTATTTAGTCAGTTGCATGCAAGCCTTAACCTCTCTGCTATTTCTCCAGCCCATACTAACATTTAATTTGCTGTTTTCTAGTTATTGGTGTTTTTGTTTTTATTTTCTAATGCTGAAAAGAATAAGACCTGATGACTCTTCCCCTCTCCCCCCCCCCCCCCCCCCCCCCAATTTTCTAGGGTTAAAAACAATGGTTTCATTAGGAGTGAAAAACCCACTACTTGATTTAACAGCTTTGGAAGATAAACCATTGGATGAAGTGAGTAAAAGAATTGTGAGACAAAAACAGCCTTAGTCTTCAAGGCAAAGCATGTGCTCTCCAAATGACCATCATTCCTAACCCAGCATTTCTCACTTTCGAAAGTGAATTTGTTTTGGGGGTCAGAGTGATGGGACAAAGGGTAAGGTGATTACCTTACATATAACTGACCAGATTCAATCCTAGGCATCCTATATGGTACTCCCACCCCAGCCTAACAGGAGTATTCGAGACCACAGAACCAGGAATCAGCCCTGAGCATCACCACGTGTGATCGAAGAAAAAAAAAAATTTTTTTTTTGCCATGATCTTGTTTTTGGGCTGTAGGGATTGCTCAGTTCACGTGTTGCATCTTCATCTCATTGATGCTTCAGGAAATGGTTTTAAATCTCCCTCCTGTTCTCTATTGGGATTGATCACTTCCTTTTCTATGGCCACTGTAAGTCTTAACTGGGCTTATAGCCCAGCTTCCCTTAACTAGTATTTAGGCTCCCCTGCACACAGGGTCTGATGCACTGTATGTACTCAGTCATATTTGAAATGTTATCTTAGTCTTTGATATCCCGCTCCCTAGCACTTGGAAAAGTTGACTGCCTTACCTAGATTAGTACTGGACTGGAAAAGTGAGTAATTCTGAATTTGAATCCATGTCTTAGCTGGATTTCTATTTCATACTGGTTTCAAAATTGCTCTGGGAAAAAAAGTCCAGAGTTTAATACAGAGTTTCTTGTAAGGTTAAAAGAAATTATATCTGTATTATCATTTATTTTTGAGTATCGACCTGTATTTTCTATTTTTTTAAAAAGTGACAATTTTAATCTATTTAAATGTTTCTCACAGGGATATGGCATTTCTTCTGTGCCGTCTACTTCAAATTCTAAATCTCTAAAAGAGAACAGTAATGCTGCCATCATCAAGAGGTTTAACCATCATAGTGCCATGGTCCTGGCAGCAGGTCTCAGGAAACAGTTAAGTATACATGCAAAGATGTCATAGCTGGACTTCTTATAGAGCTTTAGGGAGTTGTTACATTCTGCTTACACTTTTTTTTAACATTTTTTCTTTTTTTCTTTATATTAAGAGAAGCACAAAATGAACAAAATGGTGAGCCCAGCGGCATGGACAAAAATTGTGGAGATGCAGATTGCTTTCAGCCCGCAGTCAAAAGGGTACGGGGAACATGTCTGAACTGTTTACAGCTCAGATTTTACCAAATAAATTGTATAACTGCCCATACTTTATGTTCATCTTTAATTATTTCAAGTGATTGAGTTCTTCTGACCACGACCTTAAGCATTTTGCTTTCGTTGTAGAACACTTTAAAGTGCACTTCTCAGCTTTAACTTGTTTGTTTGCTATGAACTCAAGATTATTAACTATTGGGCTGGAATGACAGTATAGTAGGTAGAGCATTTGCCTGCATGCAGCCAGCCTGGGTTCTGACCCACTGGGTTTGATCCCCAACACCCCACATGGTCTCCCAAGCACTGCCAGGAATAATTTCTGAATGAAAAGTCAGGAGTGACCCCTGAATATCTCTGAGTATGATCCCCTCCCCAGCCCAAATAAAGATTATGAACTATTATTTTCTATTTTCCCTTCATGTATACACGTACACAGACACTGACATACAGTTTTTGTCTTCTAGAGAGTACTCAATAAAGATAATATGACATAGTAGGATTTTGTTCTCATAGTGAACCTAGTTTATCGTCTGGAAATTACCTCATAAAGAAATTTGGCTAGGGAGATAGCTTAACTAGCTGGAATACGTGCCTGGCATGCATAGGGTTCCAAATTGGATCCTTACACTTTAGGGACTCTCAAGCATCAACGGGTATGTGTATCTTGTGCCATTTATTTCGGATTCTAAATCTGTATGTGTATATCACTGTAACACTCATCCCATTCTTCGATTTACTCGAGTGGGTGCCAGTAATGCCTCCATTCGTCCTAGCCATGTGTATGTAATATTTAAAATTATATTTTTGTGGGTCAAAGCTTACATCCTGGCTCTGCACAAGTGCTCTGCCTGCTGTACGATTGCTCTAACCCCAGCCCTAAAAAAGTAACTTCTCTGGGGCTGGGCATGCGGGCTTGGTTGGGTCATATCTGGTGGTGCAGAGGGCTTTTTCGCTCTGTGCAAAAAAGACTCACTTCTGTTGGGGCTTGGGGGACCATATGGGATGCCAGGGATCAAACCCAGGTGCGCTATGTGCAAGGCAAGTGTTTTGTCTACTGTTGTTCCGACCCTGTATTTTTCACATATACATAGCACTATTGCACTGTCCTATTGTTCATTGATTTGCTCGAGCGAGCACCAGTAATCTCTCCATTGTGAGACCCTTGTTACTGGTTTTGGCATATCGAATATGCCACGGGAAGCTTGCCAGGCCCTCTGAGAGGGATGGAGGAATCAAACCCAGGTCAGCCGTGTGCAAGGCAAGCGCTCTACCCTCTATGCTATCGCTCCAGCCATATATATATATATATATATATACATACATACACACACACACACATACATATATATAAATTTATGTAATTTTAAAGTGAATTTTCCATACATTAAAACATTTTGTTCTATGAAGTATACACAACTTCCGGGACAGTCTCTTTTAGTCTCCAGTTCTGCCAGATTATTCTGTTCATCAATATGGAGCACCCCTGGTAATGCTCAGGGGTCACCAAGGGTATAAGGAGGGGTGCGGATGAGGAAAGATAGGACTGTGTGGTTGGCCTCACACACATCTACCCTAGTGATCACATCAAAAGCCCTTGTCTAGATATTTTTCTTTTCTTTCATCCCCAATTATATAAACAAATGTGAAAGATTTCTTCATGGGCCATTAAACTCTTTATTCATATTGTAAAGGTTTATTCCCATAATTTTACTTCTAGGTGGTAAAAGATATGTACCTAGAGTAAGATACAAATACTCATTGCAGTATCATAGTAGAGAAAATTGCAACATCTAATATCTGAGATGCATTCATACAATTGATACTGATATTGCCACTAATAAAAAAAATTAAGGGAGTGGTGGGAGTTTGGGCTACACTCAGTGTATTCAGTTACTATTCCTGGCTCCGGCTCTGCTAAGGGTCCGTATGCAGTGCCAGGGTTCAAACTGGGGTAGGCAGCATACAAGGCAAGGGCCCTAGCCCCTGTACAATCTATCCAGCCCAAATCATTAATGATATCAGGGCTGGAAAGATTTAGAAGATTTACGTTTACAGACTAGACTAAGGGCTACATAGATAGTACAGCAGGTAGGGCACTTACTTCCTGACACACAGGTTTGATCATCAGCACCTCATATGGTCCCCTGAGCATTACAAGGAGTGATAAGCTGAACACAGCCAAAAGTAAGCCTTGAGGGGCTGGAGCGATCACACAGCGGGTAGGGCATTTGCCTTGCACAAGGCCAACCAAGATTTGATTCCCAGCATCTCATATGGTCACCCAAGCACCGCCAAGAGTGATTGCCGAGTGTAGAGGCAGGAGTAACCGCTGAGCATTCGGGTGTGACCCAAAAAGCAAAAATAAAAGACAAGAGTAAGCCTTGAGCATTGCTGAGGTGACCCAAAAACAATAACAAAAAATAGACTGTAATATAACTTATTACTGTAAAAAGAACCTGACAATCATAAAAATAGCTCAGTGGGCAGGAGCCTATGCTTTGCATGCAGGTGGCCCAAGTTTGATCCCTCCATACCACCTGTACCACTGTATAGCACTGTCCTCCCATTGTTCATCAATTTGCTCGAGCGGGCCCAGTAACATCTCCATTGTGAGAATTATTACTGTGTTTGGCATACTGAATATGTCACAGGTAGCTTTGCCATACGGGCGAGGTAGTCTCGGTAGCTTGCTGGGCTCTCCGAGAGGGGTAGAGGGATCGAACTCAGCTCTGCGGAGCCGGCCACATGCAAGGCAAATGGCCTCCCGCTGTGCTATAGCTCCAGCCATAGAAACCCCAAAAATACAAAACTTAAAAACTTACAAAATTCTATTGAATTATTTTTTGATCATAAAGATTTTTATCTTTATTTCATTGTGTGTGTTACTGTGTCTGGCATATCGAATACTCTCGGTAGCTTGCCGGGCTCTCCGAGAGGGGCGGAGGAATCGAACTCGGGTCGGCCATGTGTGTGATTGTTTGAGAGGGCCTCCCTGTGATTCTTGGTCAACTGAGCCTGGTATTCGTGATCCTCGAAGGCTGTACCTAGGGTTAGCCACATGCAGGGCATTGATTAATCCCTGTACCATCTCCAATCCCTAAATGTGTTTATTTCATATAGTTCAGTACATTCATATTTCTACTAGCATATATACTGTTGAAGTTTTTAATATGCTTTTTTTCTTGTACTGTGAAAAGGATAAATAATAGGTTAAAAAAAATCTGTGAAATGATGCTTTTTGTCTTGGGGGGGCTTGGTCACACCCAGCAATACTCCGTACTCAGGAATTACTCCTTGCTCTGCACTCAGAAGGGCTGGAGCGATAGCACAGCGGGTAGGGCGTCTGCCTTGCACACAGCCAACATGGCCGACCCGAGTTCGATTCCTCCGCCCCTCTCGGAGAGCCCGGCAAGCTACCGAGAGTATTCGATATGCCAGACACAGTAACAACAAAGTCTCCAATGGAGACGTTACTGGGCCCGCTCGAGCAAATCGACGATCAACGGGTGGGCCTTTACCTTTTACCTTTACCTTACCTGCACTCAGAAATTATTCCTGGAGATGCTCACAAGAGGGATTTTGGGATTCTGGAGATTATACCTGGGTCAGCCGCATGCAAAACAAATGCCCTACCCGCTGTCTTATTCTCTGTCCCCAAATTATTTTTCTTTTTTTTTCTTTTTTTGTTTGCCTTAAGCTTGCACTATTGTCTTTCGATTCTTGGTAGGAAGTATTATCAGAACCGTAGAGTAACCCAGTCGCAGTATCTAATAATAAAGGCTGACCTTACATTGTCTTTCAAATCATTTGTGGTTTGCTATGTGTTCTCCAAATGGTTTTATTAATTGAGAGATTCAGAAATAATGAGTCCTTACATTTTATGACATTTTTAATTAAGTATGGTGCTTGACTGACTTAACACGCATTAACAGAGGCTTAAGATTTGTATCATGGGAGGTTGGTTATGAACATGGTTTAGGTAAAGGGTAGAATTCTACTTGCTGACGTGAAATGCAATGAAGACCTCAATTTGTCTTCAAGTTAGCTAAAGGATTGGCTGTAGAATTGAGAAAGTAGTAAAAAATAGAATGCTGAAAGCAGGTAAACTTGTACTCCAAAGGGATTACTTATATTCGACTCTTAAAGTAAGGTTCTTTTTTTTCTTTTAAGGTTCAGATTATTACCCAGTCTCAAGAAACAATATTTTTACTTTTTAAATTTAAATAGGTGCTACTCCTAGAGATGCATTTTAAAACTTGGTAGCAAGGGCCACACTAGGCCGCGTAGCAGAGATGGGAACATCCCATGCCAGGGCTCAGACTTAGCACATTGTACATTTGAGACATATGCTTTGCCACTTGAGCAAATTGAAATTTTTAGGATATAGTTAATAACCTAAATGTTCTGGTAGCTGCAACTGATAGTTGACCAAGCGAATTTCATGGCTTTGTACATAATATAGGTGAAATGTTTATAATTATTTTAGACTGTAAAAATTTAACAGTTCTTTACTAGGCCAGGAGAAAGATCAGCAAAACCAGAAAAAGAGTCCCTTAAAGACCTAAATAAATGGAGGAATTGGGGGCTGGAGAGAGAGTACAATGACTAGGGCACTTTTCTTATACTCAGCTGACCTAGGTTCAATTCTTAGCATCCCATTTGGTCTCCTGAGCCTACCAGGAATGATCTCTGGGTACAGGGCCAGAAGTAAGCCCTGAGCACCACCACTTGTGGCCCCCAAAACAAAAATTAATAAATGGAGGCATTATATAGGTAGTAGCACTGTAGCACTGTCCTCCCGTTGTTCATCAATTTGCTCGAGCGGGCACCAGTAACGTCTCCATTGTGAGACTTGTTACTGTTTTTGGCATGTCCAATAAGCCACAGGGAGCTTGCCAGGCTCTGCCGTGCGGACGGGATATTCTCAGTAGCTTGCCAGGCTCTACAAGAGGGGCGGAAGAATCGAACCCAGGTCGGCGACATGCTAGGCAAACGCCCTACCCGCTATGCTATCGCTCCGGCCCACATAGGTGGTAAACACGACATGTTAGAATCATTAGAGAGAGAGTGTTCCACTTTGCACTAGTGTGCCAAGGATTCATTACTAATTTAGTATAGGGGAACTGGAGGTTCTTTACCTTATTCCTTATTCCAAAGTGAATTTCAAATGAAAAATAACAGCAGCAGATTAATCTTCAGAGGAATAAGCAAAAGGAATAATAAAAACTAGGAAACATCAAGTTTAAGTTTATTACAATTTGCAATATATGTAACAAAATTAGTTTATTTGGAGAGAAAATGGTATATGCTTTTACATACCCCAGATTGTCAAAAATTAGAAGTTTAATATGGAATGTAATTTGACTATAGTAAAACAGATCCTCTGTTGGTGATTGATAGGAAATAGGTTTAGCTGAAGCCATCATCTCTAGAAAGTGAAGCTCCTGATGGGAAGATTTCGTTTTACAGTTTTACTTTTTCTTTCACTCGTGTTTTGTTACCTTTGTTAAAGGAAAGTACAATAAAAAGTGCTATGTTAATTTTAGGCAAAGTTACAAGAGTCCATTGAATATGAAGACTTGGGGAAAAATAATTCCGTAAAAACAATTGCACTAAACCTCCAGAAGTCAGATAGGTAAGTCGGACAATATTAAATTTAGGCAAAATAATCATGCAGCACAAGTCATTGCAGAATTCTGTAAGGATGCATACAAGTGTTATTGCTGCCTTAAAAGTATTGTATCTCTTTCCTTAAGAATGTACTTTGTGCTACTCAGAAAAGAATGTAAAATGATCAAAGACCAATCCCCGCCCAAAAAAAAATTTGCTCTCTCTGCTATTTTCTCATTGCCCTTGTAGGAATTAGATTAATTTATTGAAATTTCTTTAACTATATTATGCTTTTCTTGAGGAGAAGAATCTTACATTGAAAGTCAAGTCTGAATACCTTTATTCTGTGTAATTAGTGATTTCTTTCCTCTTCCTAACCTTCAGGTATTACCATGGTCCTACTCCAATCCAGTCTCTACAGTATGCAACAAGTCAGGATATTATTAATTCTTTTCAAAGTATTAGACAAGAAATGGAAGCTTATACACCTAAATTAACTCAGGTGGGTGACTTGCACTGTGTGGAGATCAGAATTTACAGTTCCTTCAGTATATGTACTATGCTGTAGCACTGTCCTCCCGTTGTTCATCGATTTGCTCGAGCGGGTACCAGTAACATAACAAATTGTGAGACTTGTTATTTTTTTTTTTTTGCATATTGAATATATCACGGTAGATTGACAGGCTTTGCCGTGCGGGCGAGATACTCTCAGTAGCTTGCCAGGCTCTCTGAGAGAGGCAGAGGAATCGAGCCTGAGTCGACCTCGTGCAAGGCAAATGCCCTACCTACTGTGCTATCGCTCCAGCCCCTTCAGTATACGAACATAACAAAAGTAAAGCATACAACTCCATTTTAAATGAAGTTAAAGGCATAGTTCTAGATCTAGCAAGATGGCAAAAGCTCAGGTTCAATCCTTAGCACCATGCAGTTCCCCAAACACTGCTAGGGCCATAGCCCCCCTTCCCCCCCCCACCCCCACCCCCTCCTCCCAAGCATTACCAGGAGTAATCCTGAGTTCAGAACCAGGAGTAACCATTGAGTATCACTGGATATACCTCCTCACCCCCAAGAAAGTTGTTTCTGCCAAATCGAGAGAGGCTTGCTCTTTCCCAAGCCCACTTTCTTCCTTGAACATGTATCTTTCTCTTAGCTTTTTCCACTCTACAGAAGCCCAGGTTCTCTCTTGAACACATTTTTTGGGGGTTTTACATGCACGTACACACGCACCACATGACACTTGGCAGTGCTCTAGCAGTGCTTGAGGGCGCCCTATGGGATACCGGGAATCCAACCCAGATTGCTCTGCCTCTCCCTCACTTTCTCCCCTCAAATCTTTCTAACTTTTTCTCATAGAACTGACTTGCTTTCTTAATCATCCTTACCATGTGAATTCTCTTTAACCTTCGTGCATCCTTTCAGAATCTGTCACCAGTCAGACTTTCTATTTCAGTGAGCATCCCATTAACTTAAAATACATGTGCTGGATTACTTCATGGCCAATGTGCATTACTGGTAGGGTTTCTCTGACTACACAGTCTGGCTTTCTGTACCATTGTAAGCACTTGATATTAATTTATTTTTTCCCTTACGTATTAAACACTGGTTTACAAAGTTGCTCATAATGACGTGCTACAGATACACAGTATTCCAGCATCAATCCTGCCACCATTGTACCTTCTCTCTACCATTGTCTCCAATTTTCCCAACCACCCCATAAGCCTCCCCTAATGGCAGGCCCTCAATAATTTATTTATATTGCTTATTATCAGTAATTTTAATTTTATTTATATTGCTTATTATCAGTAACTTGCCACCAGATGAACAAAGCATGTTTCCTTAGAAGAAAGTTAGTAAAGATTGTTGTGTCTCACCATGGAACCAGTAAGTCCTTGTACAAGAGATTACTAAGATGTTATTATAGTTAAGCATTCTGTGTTTATATTTTGTTAGTCGAAATCGGTTGCCTTCTACATTACATCCCATCCAATCTTGTGCGCTACTCCTTGTTTATCAGTGTTGTGGAGTTCGTGGCTACGTGCTCCAGTAAGGTCAAAATTTTTCACAGGGTGATAACAGCCAGAGTTAAATTTTTAACTGAATGGAGGCTTTGGGTTGTGTTCGTTCTGCTGGGGTTCTGAAAATACAGGGAGATGGGGAGAGGTAGCCCTTCCCGATCCCTTGAAAGCCTGGAGATTTCAGACACAAAATCCACATACCTGAGGTTTTCAGCAGGTTAATTTCTGGATGAGACTCATCCTGAGCAGTGGAGTCCAGCCGGGAGCTTGGGGGTGATTTTGGAGTGTGGGAGCAGGTGACTGCCAGGGCTCTGTTTGGGCAGGTACTGTGCTCACCCATTCCCCTCCAGGGCGCCCAACACAACTCAGCCTTGTGCAGGGTCTGGAAGAATTTCTTGACTTGTTGATCTCTTTAGAGATTTATTTATGAGTCTCTGAATCATAACCTATGAAAGAGCTTACATAGCATGGCGCCGAGCCTTTGCTCATTTCTTTTTCTTCTTCTTTTTTTCTTTTTTCAATTTTCAACTCATACCTGACAATGCTCAAGGGTTACTCCTGACTTTACACTCAGGAATTACTCCTGGCGGTGCCTGAGTGGACCATATGGGATGCTGGGCATCAGACCTGGGTTGGCCGTGTACAATGCAAACACCTTACCTACTGTGCTGTCACTCCAGCCTCTCCTTTGCTCATTTCTTATTCCTCTGCTATGTTTCCTCATATCCTACCCATCATTATGATCATAGCTGAGTGGTTTTGATTTTTTGCCATTTCTGGCAGTACTCATTGGGGTTGCTCTAGGCTTTGTGTTTAGGAATCACTCCTGGTGGTACTCAGGACCATATGGATTGCCAGGGATCAAACCTGATGTCACTATGTGTGAGGCAAACACCCTACCCATTCTACTATCTCTTTGGCCCTCACAATTTTTTATCTGCTCATATGTTTCTGGGCTGGAGTGATAGCACAGCGGGTAGGGCGTTCGCCTTACAAGCGGCCAACATGGCCAACCCGAGTTCGATTCCTCCGCCCCTCTCGGAGAGCCCGGCAAGCTACCGAGAGTATTCGATATGCCAGACACAGTAACAACAAAGTCTCCAATGGAGACGTTACTGGGCCCGCTCGAGCAAATCGACGATCGACGGGAGGGCCTTTACCTTTACCTTTACCTATGTTTCTAGATGTGTGGGGTGCTTCCACATCTTAGTTATTGTGAATAGCGCTGCAATAAACACACAAATTTACAAATTTCCTTTTGAACAAGTTTTTGTACTGTTCCGGTAGATACTGGGCTAGCTATAGGGAAATTCAGTTCTTAATTTTTTGAGAAGCATCAGTATTATTTTCTGTAGACATTGATCCATCAACATTCTCACTAACAGTTGGCGGGGCCTGTTTTCTCCCGATACCTGCAACAGCACCATCTTTTTTTATGTGTGCCAGTAAGGGTCCGCTTGAGATGACATTGCATTGTTCTGGTTTGTTACTTCCCAATGACAAATAATGATGTGTACCTTTTCATATACCTGTTAACCACATGTATGCCCTTCTTAAAAGGGGTGTGTTTAACTTTTCTCTTCATTTATTTTTTTTTTCTTTCCGGCTTTTGAGGGTCACACCTGCTGATGCTCAGGAATTACTCCTGGCATTGCTCAGGGGACCATATGGGATGCTGGGGATTAAACATGCATGGGCTGTATGCAAGGCAAATACCCTGCCTGCTATGCTGTCACTTCAGCCCTTTTCATTTCTTGATGGGTTTATTAAGCACTACAAGCAAACCTTCAGGTACATGGAGCAGGTAGTGTTTGACAACGGAGCTATTTAACAAAAGTAATTTGTTCCTCGCTACGCAGTACCTGGCATTTGTTAGATATTGATGGAATAGATAAGTAAATTATGTCTCGAAGTATTTATATTTATCAGCATTAAAGGGGTGTTTTCCTCCTTTTGGGTAAATTCATTCACTTCCTTGAAAAATGGAAAATGATAACATTTATGCTCTGTTAGAGTGTTGTATTTTTTTTTTTAAGCTGCCATTGGGAATACATGTTAACATGGTTTGCAGACCTTTTTATCCTTAATCTCAAGTTTTTCTACAGTGGTTCACAGATTGAGCTGCTACCACGAAAAGGCTTCAATGGGGACTGGAAACATGACTCAAAGGGCTAGGACACACACATTGCCTGCGGGAGAACTAGGGAGCAGTCCATGGTACCACTGGTTGTGGCCTAAAACAAAGTAAGAAAGGGCTTCATGGAACCAGGAACATATGTAGCTCAGTGGTAGAGCACATACTTTTGTATGTATAAGGCCCTGAGATAGGTACCTGGCTCAAAAAAAGAAAAGAAAATTCAGAGACAAATCAGGTGAGTTTTGAGGTTCCTATGGATGGACGTGGCCTGATAATTCTGGATGATTGGTAGATAATAACATTTTTTGTAGACATTTACTTCTACTTGCTATAAATTATATATTTAGACAGGAGTAAAGACTTTTGTTTTAATTTCTTTCAGGTTCTCTCAAGTAGTGCTGCCAGCAGTACCATCGCAGCCCTATCACCTGGAGGAGCACTTATGCAGGGAGGGACACAGCAAGCCATAAACCGTATGTGCTAGGCTGGTGCCCTCTGCCATCCCTTTCTTAAATCAGCTGGAAAGAACAAGTGGGGAGGGGCCAGAGCATAGTGCAGCTTGTAGGGTGCTTGCTTTGCGTGTGTCCAACCTACATTTGATCCCCAGCATTTCACATACTCCCACAAGCAAGCCAAGAGTAAGTAAGCCCTGCGTAAGCTGGGTGTTGTCCAAAAACTTTACACAAATTTAAAAAATGAGTGGGGAGATTTTTATTGGTCATTCTCGGGCACATTTCTGGGACATTTGCATCCAGATCTTGAAATATTTCTAGACATAAGAACTTGGATTTTACGTAGTAGAGTAATTCCTGGCTGTACTATCTCTCTGGGCTAATAGAGGGTTATTCTTTTAATAAACAAACTTAGGTATGTCTTTGGATTCTCGGGTCAAATAAATTTACTTACTCTCCTCGTTTTGACAGTATAGTCCCCAGAATGACTTTTTATTGTAAACCAATGATAAATCAATAAAAACAAACAAGCAAAAAAAAGAAGAAGAAGAACTTGGGTTTTAGTCATACCTTGTGCTGATCTGTATTTTTGTATCACATTGAATGCTTTCTTATTTTCTCCACTGCCTCTTAGAATAAAGGGAAATCTGAAAGTCCCTCCAAAATCCCGAGTGAATTTAAATTGACATTTCTTAGCAACAAAATAGTAATTCATCCCAGAATTGCACACTCTTGGCATTGGTAGGAGACATGTCCAGATTTGTTTTCTAAATGGTCATTCTTTCAAACTAGAGATCAAGGAGCGAAGATAGCTTTTGTCTTATAAATCTCTTCTTTTGCAGAGATGGTGCCAAATGATATTCAGTCTGAATTGAAACACCTATATGTAGCTGTTGGCGAACTTCTCCGGCACTTCTGGTCCTGCTTTCCTGTTAATACACCATTCCTAGAAGAAAAGGTCAGAACTTCTTTTTTTTGGGGGGGGGGAGGTCAGAACTTCTTGAGCACAACAACTAGCTGCTGTTGTAGTGGGACTTAGTGAGGTGTACTTTGAAGTTGGGTAAATACAGGTGTAATAGAATCCTTAATGTGTAGGCATTGATATTCACAATGAAGAAAATTTCTAAGCCACTGGAAGTGATTGAGCAGGAACTTAAACAAATCGTATCAGTAAAATTATGTGGTATGTAATTTTATTTTCATTATCTAAAATAAAATCTAATGTAAAATTGGCTGTTTAACTTAAAAATTATTTGCAGGGACTGGGATCCGTCCTTCCACCCCAGTCTGCCTCTACAGCAGGCATTTTTCTTCTCTCTGTTATCTTTCTTGTTCTTTCTCTTTCCATTTTGGGCATTATGGTTTGCAATATAGGTACTGATGTACTGATGCACAGATTTTTATGTATATCCTTTTACCTACCTTATCCCTTTACCTACTTTAAGCACTCAGTTCTTTACAGAGTGATCACTTCTAAGAGAACTTTATACAAATGATCTTTAAAAATGACAGGACTGAGGGCTGAAGCTGTAATATACCAGGTAGGGCGCTTTCCTTGCATGTGGCAAGATAACTTTTTAAATTTAAATTTATTGGTAACCCAGCACCATTGAGAGTGGGCCCGCTCCCTCTTGCTATAAAATTGCAACAATATATGTATAAATGTTATAAAATTACAGCATTTTCCATTCATTTATTGGAGGAATAAAAGTAATGATAAACATTAGTCTAATTGCTGGATCCTTTCTTTAACCAACAATTACTACTATTTTTAAAAAAAAATGTTTTTATGACCAGAGTGACAGTACAGCCAGTAGGGGGCTTGTCTTGTACATGGCGGACCTAGATTTGATGACTGGCGCCCCTTTTGGTGCCCCGAATCTGCCAGGAGTAATTCCTGAACACAGAGTTATGAGTAACCTCTGAGCACTATCAGGTGTGATACAAAATGATGGTGATCATAGTGCAGATGTTTTCAGGGGTCCAGGATATGGCTCCGTGACTTAGCACTCACCCCGTCAGCACAGTGTCGAAGGTTCAGGTCCTGGCATTCTTCACCCGACTGCAGTGATTCTGGTTGCTCTCTTGTAAGATAAACGAGCAGGAGGTCAAAAGTTTTAATACTTGGTGCTTCATATGAAATGATCCGGACCTCTCCTGTGGTCTGGCGTTCTGACAAGGAAAAATTTTTTAAAAATAATCCAGGAACACGGCTTTAAGGACTACAGAATTGTTCTGCTACTACTGTGATGTCTGTGGGCTGGGATCTCCAAGCAGTGCTCAAAAGAATGAGTAACACTCCTGGAGATCCTTAGACCACAGGTCTTTGGGCCCAGCAGTACTGAGCCACCCCGTGTTGCTTAGGACCATGTGGTGCTGGAGATACCTTAGAAGATAGTATGGCAGTGGCCTAAATAGCACCAGAAGGACATCGATTAAAGGAGTATTTGGCATGGTAATACAATAAACACTTGATATCCATTTTGTTCTTTTTAAATTGTGTCACTCCTTTTCAAGAGGGTCCATACCCAGCATTGTGGCCTTTGCTGTATAGGACTTAATGGGTACCATTAGAAGGCCACTAGGGCTATACTCAGTAGAGTTTGGGGCTCATGGAGTGCCAGGGATTGACTTCAGGCCTCACACATGCCAGGGACATTCTCTACCACTTGAGCTTTCTCTTTGCCCCATATACATCCTTTTTTTTTTTTTAAGTTTGGTTTGGTTTTGTGGTTTTGGTGCTTATAAGGTACTCCTGGCTTTGTGCTGAAGTGGTTCTTAGTAGACAGTGCAAGGGATTGAACGTAGGCTTCCAGGACCTCATATACAAAGCATACACTCAGCCCTTTGAGTTGACTCTACAGCCCTGTACATTATTCTCTGTGGGGATGGTGGTTTGAGCCACGCCAACAGTGTTAAGGGGGACCAAATGTACCAGGGCTCGAATACAGATCCCCCACATACAAGGCAAGCGCCCTGCTTACTGTACTATTAACCCCTCCCTACATTCATTTTAAATGATGTCTTAGGTGGGTACTGAATGGAAGATATTCACATAGCATCAAAAAAGGAATAGTAGTCTGTATTTTTCCTGCTTATGTACACTCGTACTCATGCACATAAAATAATTATTAGCCAAATTTTTTCTGAGTGCGAAATGTAATTGAGTTTTCTATTACATTTAGTTTTGGGTTTTTTTTTTTGTTGTTGTTGTTGTTGTTGTTGTTGTTGTTTTGGGTTTTTTTTTTTTTTGCAAAGTCACATATTTTTTGTAGAGAACAATTCCTATAGGAACCAGGAATGTGAGTTAGTGGTAGAACATCTGCCTAGAATGGATGAGGCCCTGGTTTGATCCCCAGTGCTACCAAAACAAAAACATTCATTGTTTCTTTTTTCTTTTGTAGGTAGTGAAAATGAAAAGTAATTTGGAACGATTTCAAGTTACAAAGCTTTGCCCATTCCAAGAGAAAATTCGGAGACAGTATTTAAGCACAAATGTAAGGCAACAATTTGATCTTGACCCAGTTTTTTTTTTTATCTAAGACAATGAAATTATTATGTTTTTGTGTAAATGAGAAGGTAACTTTTCTATTGAATTAATGTTTACTAACTGAGATCAATGCATACATTCGGAAGAAATCTAAAGTAATTGTACTTTTTAAAATAATAAAATGAGGGGCCTGAGCAATAGTACGTTAGGTATTGTACTTGCTTTGTGTGCAGCCAACCCAGGTTCAATCCCTGGTACCGTATATGATCGCCTGAGCCCATCACAAATGTTCCCTGAACACAGAACCAGGACTCAGACCTAAGCATCACTGGGTGTGGCCCCAAAACCAAAAAAATAAAAATAAGATAAATTTAATATCTGCATTTGACCAGTCATGATAAAAATCAGAAATGACCAATCCCCATAGGCATTCTCTGAGGGTCCCTATTTTCTGAGAGTTAATCCCTCCTTCACATTTTTCCCAAGGTCGTGACTTAATATCATTTCCCTGCTTTTCCTTATACATGTATGTCTATAAGATATAATTAGTTTCAAAACCTGAATAGGAAAGCACAAATCAAACAGTGCAAAGGCTGGCAGAATTACTGTTCTGCCTGAACAGTACCTAGGTTGGTAGCTGCCTTCAGCTTCCCTTCCTGGCTCTAGTGAAGGAGAGGTAGTTTCACATCACATCTAGGATTGTTAGCATTATTTTCAGTGCCAGACGAGAGTAGGCAATCAAGAAAATTTTATATGTAAATCTTGAAAATGAAAGATGACTGGGGAAGGAATAAGCTTGATCAGTCTGAAAGATAACTGGAGAAGAATAGAATATACAAATTTAGTCTTCCATGTTTAATCTTGGTTCGGGAGCCACACCTGGCAGCGCCCAGGCTTACTTCTAGTTCTGCATTCAGGAATCACTCCTGGGGCTTGGAGGACCATAGGGGTCCCTGGGATGGAACCCTGTTCACGAATCACAAATCACGACCATCCTGTTATTCGTCGATTGCCTTGAGCAGGCCCCAGTAACGTCTCCTTCATCCTAGCCCTGAGATTATATTCAAGGCTCTTTAGGAGAATGAGACCCATCATTGTTACTGGTATTTGGCATATTGGGTACGCCACGGGGAGTTTGCCAGACTCTGCCGTGTGGGCAGGCTGCATTCGGTAGCCTGCCAGTTTGTCCAAAGTTCAGCTGTGTGCAAAGTAAGTGCCATACCTGCTATACTGTTGCTCTGGCCTCACTGCAAGAACTTAAAAATTTTTACTCTTCCTGGGTTTTTTCCCAGACCTGTGGGAGTTTCAGGAATAAAGCATTGTTCAGATATTCTGTAACCTAATAACTGTAATGCTTAAATCTAGAAATCATCAGTTTAGTTCATCCCCTCCTCTTTCCTCTCCCATATTTCACAAAAGAAACTGAGGTCTAGAACCCAGTTAGGCCTTTTGTGACAGAGCAGGCATCAGCCCACACAGAGTAGATGAATTTGAGCCTTGACTTGTCTGAGAGCACTGTCACAGTGGGCTGGCACATGCCTACTTTACTGGGGAAACTCAAATGAGCTGATTGCTGAACAGAGTAGGGGCCAGGGAAGCATTAACTTCCCAAGTCTTGGCTCAGTTTCCTGAGTGTCTCCTGTTTTTCAGTTGGTAAGTCACATAGAGGAGATGCTGCAGACAGCCTACAACAAGCTCCACACGTGGCAGTCACGGCGTCTGATGAAGAAAACGTGAAAGGTCCGATGGTTCTCACAGGTTTGTGAGATGAGAAAACTGTGCCCCACAGTGACTCTGGAAACCTGGCCTGACACAGTGCAGGTGATCACTCAGAAGTGACAGATATCTGCACCACACGGACTCGCAGAGCCAATGCTATTGTACTTGCACATTGTGAACGGAAAAAAAAGAGCTGTGATTAAACGCAAAGCTGGGGAGGTGAATTAAGGCAGAACCAAAATGAGCTAAGTTGCAAATATATATATTTTAAAAAGACACTGTTTACTGCAGTTACTCAGGAACTGCTTTTGATTCACATTAAGCTGCTTTCAGAAATTTGAAAAAAAAAAAACTTTTTTTAAAGGGTGCGTTGATAAAATCTCGGGGGCTGGGGGTTTTGTGTGTATGGGTATGTTTGCGTGCGTGAGTGTGTGCGTGAGTGTATGTGTGTGTGTGTTTTCCCTAAGTTTATAGCACAGGGTACACCTTAAGTATTTCTCCTTCATTCTCCAGTTTTGGCTCCTCAAGTTTTACTGAATCTTAGTTGTACCTCCGTCAGCAAGTTTAAACAAGTACTTTAAAGCAGAGGGAGACTGTGGCTCGGCCCTCGGGAAACAGAGTCATGAGACATCGTTGGTCCTGTGTTTCCTACGGAAATAAAAAACAATACATTTTGCACTGAATGTTTGTGGCTTGGAGTCCCAAAATGATACAGAGGGAACGTATATTTGCAGAGTCACGTGGAGTTTTTTTATGCAGTTTGTCAGAAGACAGTGGCGCTGCATGCTTTTCCTTGAGTGCAAATGTACATTGCTAAGGTTTTTTTTTAAAGATGGCATGTGCTTTGAAAAGAAGATATTGCATTTTTAAGAGTTAAAAATAATCTTATGAATGAAAATTATTAAAAAATGTCTTATTTTCACCTCTTTAGGAAAAAAATAAAAGATGTTTCTCATATCTCCTTTTCTCTAGTATCTGTTACTGTCCTTCGCGAGTTAATAATCATTGACTAGTAATTGAAAAGCCTAACTGCAGAAGAAAAAATTGTCTTGTTTCTGAAATCCGTGCCATATTTTGTTCCTAATTGGGTTAACTTGCTGTTTATCTGAGACTTTAGATGTCTTGTATTAAAAATTATTTTTAAAAAGTAAAGTTTTTTATAGACACTCTTTTAACCAACATATCTTTGTGTGGTATTTACTGGGGTGGGTAACTTGAGGGCCACTCATTCTTTTTAAGAATCATTAAAAACTGGATTTCTTTTATATAACGGTTAAAACCTATCCCATGGAGCCAGAGAGAGAGTGCTGTGGGTAGGGCACTTTGCCCTTTGTGCAAACAACCTGGATTCAATCCCCAGCATCCCATATGGTCCCTTGAGCCCACCAGGAGCCATTCCTGAGTGCAGAGCCAGTAATAAGCCCTGAGCATCATTGACTGTGACTCCCAAAAAAGAACAAACCCCAAAAAACCTACCCCAAGCGGCCATGAAATAGTACAGTGAGTTATCTTCTGGCCTGCATTTCGCATGGTTTGATTCCCAGCACTGCCTGTGGGCTGCCAAGCAGTACAAGAACTGCCCTAAGCCCAGAGCCAGAAGGAAACCCTGAGCACTCCCAGGAAATGAGCCAACCCTGCCTCCCCTGCCTTTAAAATTATTTAGTCTGGGGCCAGAGTGATAGTACAGCAGGTAGGGCGTTTGCCTTGCACATTGCTGACCCAGGTTCGATCCCCATATGGTCCTCCAGCACCACCAGGAGTAATTCCTGAGTGCAGAGCCAGGAGAAACCCCCGAGCATCGCTAGGTGTGATCCAAAAGTTTGAAACAGTATAAGCAGAGAAGCAACCCCTTTCTGCTTCCCATTTCTCCTTTAGATCAGTATAGTAATGTCTATACTCTTCCTGGTTGTATTGGCTTAATGGCTTTGTTCTTGGCAAGTGATCCTTTGGCCCTGCAGTACTAGGGGCCACCAGGGCCATCCATACTCAGTGCTGGGGCTGGGGAATGGGAGGGGACCATGCAACAGCAGGGAAGGCACTCCAGGCCTTGCACACGCATGGCCGGTGCTCCGACCTTTGAGCCATCTTCTTGGCCTCTGAACTTTACAGAATGTTTACCAAGTGCATTATCACCACAAGTACTCTAAGTAGTAGAGCAGATAGAAAATGTTTTAGAAGATATGTATGTTGGGAAAGACAGTTTAAACAAAATCTGTGGAGTGCTCTGTTAAAGATTCAATGACATATATTGGAAAAGAAACTAAGAGAAGAGAATTGAGTCAATTTCATTAAAGATCTGACTTTATTTTTGGTTTTGGGACCACAATGAACTGTACTTGTGGCTCTACAAGACTTGTAACAATCCAGACTGCAAAGGATCCAAATGAAAATAAAGTTCTGAGGCTAGGAAGATAGTACAGGAGTTAAGGTGCTCGCCTTACATGAGACTGCGGCAGACGTCGTACTGTTTTGAATCCCCAGCACCATGTAGAGTACCCCGAACACCGCTGGTGTGACCCAACAGCCCCCCATCTCTCTCCCCTCCCCCCTCCTGTCTCCAGCCCATATAAATAAAAATAAAGTTGATGTAAAAATGAGAGGACTGGGCCGGAGTGATAGTTCAGCAAGTAGGGTGTTGGCCTTGCACGCAGCTGACCCAGGTTTGATTCCTGGCATCCCATATGGTCCCCCAAGCACCACCAGGAGTAATTCCTGAGTGCAGAGCCAGGAGGAACCCCTGAGCATTGCTGGGTTTGACCCCAAAAAGAAAATAAAGATAGAGAACTGAGTGAAGATGTTCTTCGGGTATGTGATAAAAGCTGAAGTGAGGACTTTGTTTACCAGAGATAGCTCTCACGTGCATCTGAAATGTCTGATTCTTGGGGGTCCTTTAAAAATGAGGGTCCCTGTACATGACTTACAGGGGTTCAGCCCCTAGAAATCCATATGGTCCCCTGAGCATCTGCCGGAGTAATTAAGTGAAGAGCTAGGAGTAACTCCTGAGCATCACCAAGTATAACCCAAACACCAAAAATAATTTTTTTTTTTTTTTAAAATAAACTTTGCCCGCCAGAGAGTGCAGCAGGTGATGTTTGCATGCAGCTGACCCCAGTTTCATCTCCAGCACCACATATGGTTCCCTGAGCACTGCCAGCACAGGTTCCTGAACACAGCCAGGAGTAAGCCCTGAGTATAGTTGGGTGTGACACAAAAATAAATTGGGCAGCTTTTAGGTCCACAGAAGCCCCACCTCCTGTCGTGGATAGTGTTGGCAGCTGCTGAGGACCAGGGCTGCAAATTAGAGATAGGGTAAAGCAGAACTTCCCCACAAGGACTGTAGTCCCCTCTTGGCCTCTGAGATATTCCAAGGGGACCACAGTGAAAACTGGGGGTAAGGAAGTGGCATGGCACAAAACTAGGGGCCAATTGTAGGACAGAGGGAACATAGGATGGAGACATCAGAAAGGTTGGGAAGAGACAGACACTGTTTAGAGGAGCAGTTTTAAAAAGTTCTGTTGACAAGAGTCTGTCCTCCAGTGTAAAAAGTTTGAAAACCATGGGTCTGCTACTGTGGATTTAAAATGCTGTTTGCTCTAGTAAAGGGGCTGACAACTACTGCTTCATTGTTGACTGATTAACTCAAGTTCACATAGCCAGTTAGGTGGCAGAAGTGGGATTTATGCAAGCTTGATGCCACCACATAAGGATGTTTGTGGGGGTCAGAGAGTGCAGCATGCAGGACACTGCCCAGTACACAGCCAACCCGGTTCTATCCCTGACACTGCATATGGCGCCCCCGCCCAGCCCCTTCAGGAGTGAGCCCTGAGCACAGGTGACTGTTGTGCAAACTCCCTCACTCTCCCCCCTCCCCCAAAGAAAAGGATGTTTGTGAGAGTGGAAGATTTTATTACCCAACCTGAGCTTCCATTACCTAGTCTTTCCTTTGACCTGTCAGCACTCCTGCCTCCTGTTCTAGACTTTGCTTCATTTTTTGGCAGATCACACGAAATTACTCTGCCAAGTGTTTCTCATCAGTATACAGGGCCGCAAAAATCTAAGATGATGACAGTGTGCCCTGCCTTAGAAATCTGGTTTCTAGAAAAGAAAAAAAAAAGTTAGTGTTAGTCTGTGGTTGGACTTAGGCTGAGATGGGAGTACGTACGATGCTTTGTGATACCCACGTCAGTCTGGAAGACAAAAGGAGGGGTTTTTTTGTTTGTTTTGCTTTTTGGGTCACACCCAGCGATGCACAAGGGTTATTTCTGGCTCTGCAACTCAGCCACTCCTGGCAATGCTGGGGGACCATATGGGATGCTGGGAATTGAACTCGAAATGGCCATGTGCAAGGCAAACGCCCTACCCGCTGTGCTATCACCCCAGCCCTCAAAGGAGGTTTTAAGTAAGCTTCCCAGAAAGGTTTCCACAGACTAGGGGTGCTTTCCTGAGGGTGCCATACCATCTGGAGCTGACGGGTCCCTGTGGTGGAGGTTTGCCCGTGACAAGCAGATTTGCTGTCTCTGGTGTCAGGACTTGTGTGGGATTCCTCAGTGTCACCTCTGCCCTTTCCCAGTTTAGCTTCTTTAGGCCTCAGCTGTTCTCCCAGTTCCTCAGGCCAGGGAAATCTGTTCTTATTTTCAGTTCTTAAGTTGTGCTGAGCTGGAATATTGCCTGAAACCTAGTTCGCAGTCAGTTGTGGCACAAAAAATGACTCGTTCTGTCTTGAGATCACAGGAGAGACTTTAGAACTCAGATTTTGTAACCAGAAAGCTCGGTTTTCAACCATTTGCAATGTTCCTAATAGAACTAATGTGAAGCTACCCACTCAGGGGCAGTGAAGCTTCCATCTCCCCCCAACACACTCCCCCACCTTCCCTAGAGATACATGGAAAGTCAGTACCCTCTGGTCATCTGACAACGTGTTGTGTTGCACTGAAAACAGTGCAAGTAGGCTAAAGTTGAGTGAAAAATTGGAAGGACAGGTGCTAAAGTATATAAAATAGAGAATATTTCTATACTCAGCTCAAATCTTAATCTCCTGCAGTAATGTTAAGTGCGTTTTTCTTCTGGACATTTCTCTTTTAATCGAATTACCTTTTCAGTCTACAACCTGAGATTTTCCTGCAGAGATGTTAATTCTCTTCCTGCAGACATTTGTGTCCTTTAAGATACACCATGACAATGAGCTTTATTTATTTTTACTTTAAAAAAAAAATTGGGATTCTTTAGGTTATAGTACCCTTAATGATGATTTCACAGGCACATGATTCAAACACATGTGCACTGTAACACCACCCTCCTCCAAGGGCACCCAAAAAATGGGGCTAATTTTTTTTTATTTTATTTGAGGGCATACCTGGAGGTGCTTTGAGTTTATTCTTGGCTCTGTGCTCAGGTTTCACTCTTGGTGGGCCTCAGTGGACCATATGGGTGCCAGGGATTGAAGTTGGGCTAGCCATATGCAATGCACATGCCCTATGTGTTCTCTCTCTCTCTCTCTCTCTCTCTCTCTCTCTCTCTCTCTTTCATTTTAATTGAATCACTATGAGATACACAGTTATAAAGCTGTTCATGGTTGTACTAGTTCTTTAGCCCCCAGGTTTTTTTTCTTCCTTTTGTGTCACGGCGAGCTCAGAGGTTGCTCTTGGCCCTGCCCTGAGGAATTACTCTTGGTGGTGCTCGGCGAACCATATGAGATGCCAGGGATCAAACTCAGGTCGGCCACGTGCAAGGCAAACACCCTACTCACTGCACTATTGCTCTGGCCCCTTTAGCCCCAAATTTTTCTAAAGAAAACTTCATTGGTTCTATTTCTGTAAGCTAAATTTTGTAAATTTGGGTTCTATTCAATATATTATTTCTGTCACCTGATCCTAAAAGCAGGCTATACAAAATACAAAAGCTTTTAGTGATTGTACATCCAAAAGATATAGGCCATTTTATAAACGTCAGAGGAGGTGACAGCAGTGTTTACACAGGCTTCCCAGGGTTGAGTGTGCTCTTGGCAGCAGTAGACATCTGGAGTAACAACGCCATTAGAACACAGACTTTGCACCTGGACCCAAATCCTAGCTGTATTGCTACTTACTAGCTTTATGACTGAAAACTTCACTGATGTGCCTCCGTTCTTTCATCTACAAGATGGCCTTCATGGGAGTCATTCAAAACCGAGCATGCT